TTTTTTTTTTTAGTTAATTATTAAATTTGTGACCTTTTTGGGTTCTTAAGTTTTTATAGAATACATGTGACAAGTTTTAAGCATAATAAATAATCACATGAGATGCATGGGTCAGAGTTAGTATTTATGGGGGTTGTCTTGCATTAATCAACATTGTAAATATACCATGAGTGACATAATGAGACACAGAAAGCTTTGCATGAATAAAATTTGCACGTCAACCAAGAAATTATGAGTTTTTTTAAAATTTCTTTCCAAAATAATTTACTATCTCTTTATTCATTCTTCCTTTTTCCAAAGAAGCAATGGATGATCTTATGATATGTTTTAAATTATGCCTCGTGATAGGATTGATTAATGGGATAATTGGCTAACTATATTCAAGAACGTGTCTTAAGATGGACGTATGGAGGATTTATGAACAAATTGAAAGTATTTTTGGGATAGTTAAACCTGTAACGACGACGGGTGAATTGAGGTGGCTCGAGAAATGAACCAATAGACCCATTCGAACTCTTTGGCACCTTGAATTGATGTTAATTTGTGTTAACCTAAAGAAATCTAGTAAAGCAAAATATAGAACTCCTCAACCGCTCTTGCCTGTCTAACTATAGTAACAATTTACATATTTGAACTTGGCAAAGTTCAAAACTTGGAGTTGTTATTACACTTTAGAAATGTTACATTTTGCTAAATTAATTTCAAGATCATCTCTCTCTCTCTCTCTGACACACACACACAGAGTTCTCCTTTGTTTCTCTGACACACACACACACATTTCTCTATATGGCCTAAACTTGATGCCTGGTAGTAGTGCAAGCAAAGCAAAGCAAATGCAAAGTAGCAAAAAACCCCCACTTTATTTATCTATTTTTATTTTTTAGCGCTCTCTAAAACTCACTTGCTGATTCCTCTTTGTCGGTAAAAAATCTGCTTTTTTCCCTCTCTTTCCTCTCAACCCTTTTTATGCTGCTCACTACTGCTATAACCTCATGTTTTGTGCATCATTCACTTCCCAAACCAACCTGCAAAACTCTCTCTCTTTGTTCTTCTCTCTTCTTCATAACCTCCACTAGTTACTATTTTTAATTCCAAAACCCTTCTATTTTCTTAGCCCTGAAAACATCATTTCTCTTAGTGTTTTTGTCTTTTGCCATGGAAGGTGTGTCGGTTTAAATTCAAGATTATCATTTTCTTGGAATTTCCTCCTTCTTTGCTGTGTGTATTACAATTTACATATATCCTTCTAACTTCTGAACATTATTTTCTTCTTTCAGGTACACTGTAATGAGCGAGTGTTGACCCTTCTCTCCATTTAGTTCATTTCCTTCTCAAGAAATACAGATAGTGAACTATTTGAAGAGAGAAACAAGAGAGAGGTGCTCATTATGGACAGCTTCTGTCTGTATCCACACTCGTATTTGTTTATTTTGGTTTGAAGAATTAGGTTTTGTTTCCTAGTTTTGTAGAGTGCTATACTCAAAAAAGAGAAGAAAAAAACATCTTAGGAATTCTTTAGTCAGCAGCCAACTACTTTAATTTAATCATTTAGCCCCTCTAAATCTCTTGTGACTTGTTCCATCTCTTTTGGTCTCCAAAAAAAGGAAAAACATAGAATACAGAAAAAGACAAAGGTTAGAGAGAGGGGGGTTAGAAATGGAAATTCCTAGTCAAGAAGTGGAGATTCCAATTCCAATTCCAATAAGCAGCACATATGGTGGGGGACATGGTCATGGCCATGGGCACATGATCCATCATGACTCAGCATCCCACAATCATATTATACCTGCAGCTTCAGCATCCCTACAAATGCCCTCAAATGGCCCCATATCCTCCATGTTTGAGGAACATGTGCCCTACAAGAAAATGGTTAGGTACAGAGAGTGCCTTAAGAACCATGCAGCTTCCATGGGTGGTAATGCCACTGATGGCTGTGGAGAATTTATGCCTAGTGGAGAAGAGGACACTTTAGAAGCCTTAACTTGCTCAGCCTGCAACTGCCATAGAAACTTCCACAGAAAAGAAGTTGAAGGGGAGCCCTCTCCTTGTGATTTCTATCAAAATCCAAGAACGGGAAGGAAATATTTTGTAGGACACCACAAGGGGATTTTGGGGCCTGAAGCATTGGGGTACCATACTGGGACATTGATTTCCTCTAGAGCAGTGGCACCAGCACCACATCAGATGATAATGTCCTACAACATGGGGTCACTTCCTTCAGAGTCAGATGAGCAGGAGGAAGGTGGTGGTGGTAGTGGGGTGGTGGCCCGGCCACCTCAGCTGGTGAAGAAGAGGTTCAGAACAAAGTTCACTCAAGAACAAAAGGAGAAAATGCTCAACTTTGCAGAGAAAGTTGGATGGAAAATACAAAAACAAGAAGAATCTGTGGTGCAACAATTTTGTCAAGAAGTTGGGGTCAAAAGAAGAGTACTGAAGGTTTGGATGCACAACAACAAGCACAATCTTGCCAAGAAAAACCTTCAATCCAATGCTGAAAACCCAGTTTAAGAACAAATTCAAAGAGATTATATTTCCAAGTTCTTGTTAACTAGAAGTACTTATAATCATTTTATTTTCTTCTTAGTTTGGGGTTTCTCACTCTTCATTTACTTATCTAGATTTATATACCTAATAATATATAGCACTGTTTATGTGATTGAGTTTAGGAAAATGCCTTTGGTTATGAGTGATTTCAGTGTAGAATCCTCTGAGTATCTACTGTGTATGAACTCTTTATGCAGAAAATGATTCCTTTAGTAACATTATTACTCTTTGGATTTGCTTCCTCACTGTTTTTACCCCAATCCATATTTTTCTAATATTATATCTTGTTTTAATCTATACATTTTGTTTTACGGGTTTTATAACAAAAAAAATGATATATTCAATTAAATATATATAATCATTCACATAAATTGTTCTGAATACGTGAATCAATGCCATGCGGCCTTAGTACTAGAAATTTATTGAAATCAAATTAAAATCACGTAAAATGAGTAAGAGGGTGTTTGGTGGGGATTAAAATTAGATTTTTAGTGGATTGTGATAGAAGTTTTTGAAATGTGTGGTTGAAAAGATGTGAAACTCGTGAAAGATACGGTTACTATTGATTGTTTGCCTTTGATTTGGATTAAAATCAAATTTTAATCCGGTCTAAACTGACCCTAAAAGTATTCTTGTTAAATGGCCTTTTCAATTTTCCGACAAATAAGTAACAAACACTGTTTATTTGCACTGGGAAAATGAAATTGCATTGCATGTGATTGCTCAACCATAGTAATTGTATGTTACATCATCAAATTTTCCGTTGAACCTATGTATTAAAATCCAACCTAACTCCACCTGATTACAATTAATATGTATTCTTCACGTGCATCACTTACTCACCGGACCTCAGAATCTATTCTGCGATGTTCTTCACGTATTAATTTCAGTAAAAATGTTAACTCGATTGGTTCGGTGCTAGTGTGAGTCGAGCATAGTACTTTTGAGGTCGGCAGAGAGAGTCGTTATCTCCTACGCACTTGAAGTTTTTAAAGTGTTCCTGCCCAAATATTGAGAGGAAGTTCAAAACTTGGGCGGAACAGTTCCACTTACTTCTCGCTGAAGCTAGCTTTCTCCACCGTCTTATGTAATGTGATGGCCTGCTAACCGAACTAAACGGAAGGTAGGGCCAAAATATGATACCCAAAGGGCTTGATACGCACAATTCTATCCTATCCCAAACGACTACAGAGGAAGCAACCTGCCTACTATTGTAAAGCGCTTTTTTTTTCTTTCACAATAAGATCTGGACGATTATCCCTACTTGCGGCCTGAGTCCTTTGCGTTTAGATCATCAGCAAGTAGTTCCTCTTGACTGTACAATTAACTCATTTTGACAAGTCTACTTCTATTAAAAAAGTTTGGACTAAACATCCCATCTTGTCACTCTCATCCAGCACAAAGAATGGAAGGATTTGGTACAATAATTCTTTACAGCCCAACCGTAGACAAAGATGTTGAGCTTGGTAACATAACGTCTCAATATGAGCTGTTTGTTCAAAGTGATGGCAGCTTGTGCTTGTTAGGTACCTTATTCTGGTACAAGACAAATTTATTAGGGTTAGAGAAAATACCCAAAACTTGACTAGCCAGAATCTGCTCCCTTTTTCCCCTTCATTTATGAGACCTGATAAATTTTGAACCATGTATACAAAACATCTTTAATAGCCTTGTGCTGTCAGTACAGTGACATATCCACCCACACAAGAATTCTAGTTTTTTCCTTTAATTTTTATCGAAATTTGCAACAAATCAATCCAAATGTTGTCAGGCATGGTTCGTTTGGTAGGATTTTTATTTTTGTTTCTACTTTCACTTTTTGTAGAAGAATTTTTCGAAAATGTATCTTAGACCATTTTTTTCTAAAAGCTCTTCTAATCAGATAAAACACTTCCAAAAAAATTACCTAAACGTGCTCAAAGGTAATTTTTGACTTTTCAAAAACATGCCAAAAGGGCCTTAAGCACGCACATAAAAAAAATAGAAATTAAATTTGAAAATGCTGTGGTCCAGGTGGAACGCAACATGGCCACCATAGAAACAGAACTACAGAAAATGTCGGTACTAAACCAAAGGCATGCCGAAAATCAGTGGCTACTATTACATTTATCCTTAAAATTCGAAAAGGTAAAATAAACTACAATAAATACTACAAACGGTTACAACCTTTCCCGAATTGCTGCTCCAAGTATGCATCTGACGGCATCATTGATGACTCTGGAAGACTTTATACATTGAATCAAAGATGAGTTGAGTTATTTATTTGTTCCATGCCAGAAACTGACTGTTCCACGGCAAAAACGTTCACATGATTCTGAACTCGCATGACAAGCACAATCGAAGCATGCATACCATGGTTCCGAGCATACTCCAGTAAATGTTCAAATACAGTAAACAACCTGGGCTCTTTGGAATCCATCACCAAATTTGTAAAGACATTTTACGACTGCCATGTCTTATTTGACCAATTGACACAGTCGAGCTCGGCCAGGATTAAGTAGTGATTCAGACATTACCCAACCCTGAAAAGAAGTATAACCCTTAGCTGGTGTGATATGAAGCAAAGTAATTAGAAGCATACTAGTTATGATCACTTTTCTCCTCAATCAATCTCTTCTTCAGAAGCATTCTGCGAACCAAAAGTGTAAGCAAATGTAGAAAAGCACATAACCTTCCACTTTCCAAGTGTACCAAGGAACACAAATCCAGTACTACTAAAATGCTTTGGCTAGTACTTTTCAGCAATACAAAGTCAATATTCATGATAAACTGAATTCTAATAAGAGGAAAAATTTCCTTCTCTTGAAAAATAAAGTATAATACTAATATTTATTTTAATTCAGCATCAAAAGAATTGTTTGAGAAGAACGAGATCACAGTAAAACAGAGAATATAGTGCAAGACCAATATTCTTTCAATGAAGAATCACTAAGAACTTCGAGCATCCAGCAGAAAGAATCGTTTGAAGTGCGAAATTAATTAAATCAAGGTAGGAGTGGGTCACAGTCTGCAGTTAACGAATTCAGATAAACCCATATATAACTTGCAATGGAAAGAAAAGGTACATGTCATCCCCCCAAACAGGTTCACAGCATTGTCGTAGGTTCCATTTCATCAATTTCGTTGTTTCCAATATTAGACACAGCCATTACCAACTAATTGTGAGACAGCTAAACTGAGTCATATTAAGCTCACTGTGAGAACTGCATTCCACATTTAAGTGGCTTTTCTAATCAACCTATGCCTTGCATAACCTTTCAGAAGCAAGCAGTCCCCTTCCCCCCTTAATGACAGAACAATCATTAAAGTTAATAGATCTTATAAAATGCAACCACCACACCTCTCAAATAACCAATTCATTAATCCAAGTGATATGATTCAGGCAGTTATGCCATCTTGTACCAAATTGACTAGGTGATTTCTCTCTAGCTTTGCACTGTGAAAAGTATGAGGGTAATAGAAGCCGCCTCCAAGGATGCATACATATCATGTTTTTATGGTGAAGCACGAAACCTTCTACTTGTTGCCTCGGTTACTGTACTGCACAACCCAACATATGGTGTGCTCTAATTTTTGGTTTTAGCTATCTTGTTCTCATTTTTTATAGTTCATGACTAAGAAAACAGAAAGGCGCCACTAGAGAAACAATGCAGCAAATAGAACAAGTCATATGATGAGACTAAACCAATAAATACCGATTTACCAGCAGTTTCAATAGAGTAATTCCAAATAGATATTAGTGGGAAGGTAGGTAGATCAAGTTTCCCTCACCTGTTCCTTTGCTTTGTTCTTGAATGGCCCATATAAAGCTGACACCATCTTATAAGATTCTGCAACATGAGCTTGAATATCAGACGATGTTGGCAGTAACATCGGAAGGTCATGCTCTTGTTGTCTCCTAGAGGAACATTGGTTCTGATTGGAGGTGTGGATGATGTGGAGAAGCACATGAGCCTATAATAGAAGGTGAAGTTAGAAAGAAAGACTATCAAAATTAAGGACATAAGACCTGGAGGTTGGAGCTAACATGAAAAGCTGCTTTCAGTATGTCATCAGACTTTGCTTGGTCCTTGAACAAGGCATATATATTGCCCCTGGAAGGATTATATGACACGATGTATCGCTCTTTCTGTGTCAAGAAAAATCAGTATGCAACTCATAAGTCGTGCAAAAGGTAACAAGCATGCAAGCGCATGAAGGCTCATTGCTATAGGCATGTATATGCACATAAGCACATGCAACAAATCCCCAAAAATTGGGTTTTCTGCTTCCATTTATCAGTAAAATATGAAAGTCAAAACTGCATAGCCTGACAGTCATTTTCTTCTCGCAAAGGAACTATACCTCAAATATAGGTTCCACGGCCAGATATGAGTTAGGATCTTGAAATGCATCTTTGAATCTTGGCCCTACAAATAATTTGAATTTTTGTCTTCAAGTTACACAAAGGTGAATATGATATAACAGCCAGATGAAAAGCAAAAGAGTGCATATGCAAAAGAGAGAGCATTGTTTGGAAGTACCAAGAACAATAGGTCTGTGTTTTGACCATGGAAAACTGAATATATTTTCCATTGAATTTCCCTCTTGCAAAGTTGGAACTCGCCCTGAAAAATAAATATAGTACAAGTTATAACATTTAAGAGAAACCATGTATTTATCTAATCTCTTTTCCCTTCCAGCTTTATTTGTGAACAAGGATATGAATCCCCCTTGCCTTGGTGAAGAGTCCATGACATTGGTAAATGCACTCTGATCTCCAAAATTTAAAAATGCAATTTTCACATGGAACGTGATAGATTATAAAAATGATGATACAGGCATTTAGGAATGTCATAAAATTTGTAATTTAAGCAATTTTGGAAAGTGCAGGTTGGTGTTCAAGCTCCAAAATATTCATAAAATGAGATATTTGGAGCAGCAGATGACATCTTCCCACACACCCAAAACATGAAAAGAACCACTTAAACCCAAACAAAAAATTGGCATATCACATAAGACTCACACACAGACAGATAAAGAGAAAATCAATGAGAAGAGAAGTGACTTGAGCCTAACCTGACTTGAGGAAGGATTCTACTGCTACAGTGAATCTTGCACGATTTAGTGTATGCAGCACAACAGATTTCACCTGAAAAGATGAATGAATCATTTACAAATGGTCTTATAAGAACACACTTTAAAGAAAAGGAATGGAACGGAATGACGGGCAGTGGGGTTATGTTTAAGATGTATTCAGAATCCGACCTCTTGATAAGAGCTCATCACATATCCGCATGAGAGCAGAGCAAATGTGGTTACCAAAGATGGGTTTCTTTTAGCAATCATGATGCTCAGTCCAGTTCCAAGCTTCAAAAGCAAAATCATTATCTGTATTTAGTTCCAAACTAAAAACATAAAATACTCAAATATGTGTAAATGTGAGAACGATTTAACCCCATAGGGTTAAGGTTAAACTACTAACTCATTACATTTTATTCCAAGGCAATAGTAAAATGTGTAAATAGTTGGTCTTTCTTTGTACTTCATCTGCCCCCTTTTCTACAGCATCCTTCTAGTTCTTTTGGCTCAGTTCTAGTTTCCCAATCATAAAAGAATGCAAGCATATTTATTCTTTCTCTAAACACACTACAAACTTACGGTCATCTTCTATGATTGGGAATAATCAACTACCAAATGATTCTCAACAACATTTTAATAAAGGAATATACAAGTCGACGGAACAGTAAATCACAAAAAAACAGTCCAACGCCAATTATTACATGACAGTCTGATTTGACTAGCAGTTACTATGATTAAAAACTTGGTTGAAAAAAGAAAACAAAATACTAAGTTGGAGAAAAGGAATCTACCAAGTACACAAGGATTCCTTGTTTAACAAATACACACCCCTTCATCTATGTTTGGATAATCCCATTTTATATGCCGAAAGTTTTACACTTGACTTGAAAAAGATCAATATCTTAAGCGCCTTTACATCTTTATCCTCCAAATTAATGGTTAGTAATAATTGTCAATCATATCATGGTTCAGAAAGCAATCTAAGATTGGATAAATTGGAAAGTGGAGGCCCTTCCTTTTAGTTTTCCACTGTTTATCATATGCATTCCGCATTTATGTTTGTGATTTCATATATATGAGGAAGAGCTCCATGTCTGAACATCCCCACACCAGAATCCCCAAATACCACATAAGCAAGGTGGCTTTTGGGAAAAGAGGGAGGACGGCCAACAAAATTTTTGAAATCGTCCAGCGATGGAGAAATCAAAAACCGGGCTTCTGTTCCCAATTTTCCTTCGTCCCTCATTCCCAAAAAAATCCACTTGATCCTACACTCATTCTGACATGAAATCTGAACTAACATAACTGACATACCTGAACCTATATTATAATTAGAAAAATCAATCAATTTCACAAAGATAATGTACCAAAAACACATTTACAAGACTAATCCCCATTTTTATTTGGCTGAAATCAGATTTTTAGTATGTTTTGATAAAAGTTGAAGAAATGTGTGTTTGAAAAGTTGATAAAAGTTGTTGGGATTATTCTACTTTGCCATAAGAAACCGTCCAGAAGTAGTGCCAGAAAGGTATGTGGTGGGAGGTGATTGGATGGAAGAGATGAGTGTGTTTTTGATCAAACAAGCATACCAGGTCAGCAATATTTCCAACACATTCTCCCTTGGCAGTCACATCTCCAATATTTTCTCCTTTAGCAAAGGCCTTGTATATTGGGGTTCGAGTTGAGGTAGATGTGACAGCACCAACATTCTACAAGCACATGAAGATGAATGTGTGAAGGTAGTTTTCCATTGCAAGACATTGAGAAATGAGAAGGACAATAATAGACAAAACCTTGGCCACGTTGGCAGCACAAGCTAACGGAAGAAATAGATGTGGAACAGCTGCAGTTGCTAACTCTACCCCAGCTCCCAACTCCATTAAAAGGTCACCAGCAATCCGAAGCTGAGTGATGTGAAATCATCGGAAGATAAGGAGTTATATTTGTAGTGTTTCCAGCAACAATAAATACATTGGCTAATCATAAATCATCCTTCCTCTTCGACATTCAAGCCTAAGGAATAGAATACCTGCTTTAGATCGTAATCAAATTTCTTTCCCTGCCTTGCAAAAAGCATCTTCCCAACCCGTCCAGCACCATCCTATAATTAGCCATACTACAGAATATTATTATTTCCTTTAAAAAGCAAAAGAATCCTCTTCTCCTCGTGATCAAAATTCAAAAGTAATTCAATCCTGAGTTTCAGTTGGTTCAATGACAAATGAAAGTCACGAGGAACATAAATAGCAGAGCTTCATAAATTCCACATATCCACTTATGAAACATTATTTGATACATTTTAACTTTCAACTTTATCCTAGCCCTTGAAGCCTGAATTTCTAAGTTATAACAAGAATTACCTGAAAACAAAATGAACCGTGACAGAAGGGGTTCCTCCACATTAGCTTTTCAATGAGTTACAAGGTGAAGTGAAGAAAGTGTTTCAATGTTCCCTCCATATTTAACATCCACTATTTAGTCTTAAGAAATATTAAAAAACTACAAAAACTGAACAGTATGACAAAAATGTAAATAAAGAAGAAGTGGGACCCGTGGATTTCTGAAATTCCTAGACGAATAAATATACAAGAAAAGTGACCACTATTGTTTGAAGGTGCTCACTTTGAACAGAAACACCAAAAGGACTAGAAGTACATGAATATAATGTGTACTTCTATTTCAAAAGAGGTTGAAAGATCAACTGGAACCACGGAAAAATGACCCCTATTGTTTATAGGTGCTTACTTTGAACAGAAACACAAAAAGAAGTACGAGAATATAATGTGTACTTTTATTCTAAAGAGGTTGAAAGATCAAACAAGCATGGAAAGAGATCAGCTGGTAATGCACTAATGCACATAAATCAACTATCTTGGGAATTCACTCTTGGAATCATCTGTTTTGTCCCCTCACCTCGTCACTTTTCCTCTTTCAATCCACATTTTAACTGAAACACGGGCGCAAGCACACACCCAACAAAGAAAATTGCATATTTCCATGTAGTAACTAATGCCAAAAAGCTGGTCAAGGTTTATAAAATGAAGTACTTCCCCCAGTTCTCCTGCTTACCTTGAGAATCCAATTTAAAGCTACAGCACCTGGTGCAGCCTGATTTCTCGAAACTCCTACTGAATTCAGGAGTGTTTGTGTCGTGAAAACGCCCATTGCTCCACCAAAAAAGTGCTACAAATAAAAGTAAATGTCAATATTCTATAGCAACTGGTAAACAACTAAAAGGTGTAAATACCAACAAAATAATTCCTGCTAAATGATGTACATGGTACCATAAATATAACTAAATACCTTCAATGCTCTCCAAGTCATGTATGGAACATAAGCAGGTGTGACACTGTCAGGAAATCCTTCGGGAACTACATACAACCTTATAAATGACATCAACCCCTGCACCACAAAGAAGACATGACTGAGAGAAAGGTAAACTTATTTTGCAACTGAAATCTAAAAATTCTTATTCTCGAAATCTAATAGTTCAATTCCCATTCTCCACCTCTTTGTTTCCCTCTTAACTTTTAGTTGATTTGCTTTTAATGTGTAGAGAGATATTGGATATTTTAGTTCTGTTTTCTTCATAATGTTAACACTGATTAATACCTACCCTGCTATAACTGCAAGATGTCTATACGTAAATTGCAATTATAAAGTATGAAGTATCGCTGCTAAGTACTAAACCACTTAGTACAAGAGTTATACAAATTCTCTTATAAAAATTTAGAAGTGGAAAAAAATATTTGAAAAAAGATGTTAGTTATTATCTGTCCTTTTATAAACTTCTCATTTTGCTGTTGAATAAAATACCAAAAGCAGTCCATAGTTTCAGCAATTGATTAATCAAAAAACTCCACACACAATATTTTAGTTCATAAAATGGGAAGTCACCATTTTTTGGGAAGAAACAAATGCAATTTCATATTTGAAATAACAGACGTCCGAAATCTTAATTAAGTACATCACCGCAAAAATACAATTCAATTATGTTAATTCATTCTCGCTCAAAAGAATTTTAATGTCAATGTATATGGTTAGATGCAGAGAGACAGCAGGAAACAAATAGAACCAAGAAGAAGAAGAAAATACTGACATCAAAAGGGGCCTGGGGATCATGCGAGCTAACAGCACGAATAGAATTATTCTTAAATTTCTTCGAACTGCTAGTTTTAACACTGTTATTATCAGCGAAATATTTCCACCGCTGGCCATCGATCTCCTCACAACAGATCAATCTAAAGCTGGAATCAACAAACTGGTCCTCGACAAGTCCGCCAAAGTTGGAATCCCGAATCAATTCCCGCTCGGACACCGCCGGCGGCGGAGGTGCCGATGCGAGGTTGGCGCTGATGCGTAGTGTCTCACGGACAAGCAAACGCGTCTCGGATGAGGTTAGGGTTTGAGAAGCGGAATTGGACGGGTGCTTAAGCTTCATTCTAAAATCAGAAGAATTTACAGCAGAATATTTGGGGAAAATGAGAATTGGCAGTATATAATTATGTATATGTGTATATATAGAGAGAATGGCCTAGGGGGCGACGAGAGAGAGAGTGAATAGAAAAGTACAGATGGTGAACGGAGCTTAAGAGAGAGTTTTTCTTGTTATGTCTTCCCTTCCCTTCCCTTCCCTTCCCTTCCCTTCTTCTCTCTAGAAAGAGAGTAAGGAGAGAGAGGAAGAGAGGGCCACAGTGGTTGGAGGTCTGTGGAATGGGAAGAGAGCGGTGATAATAGAGTCACCTGCGGTGACACCAAAGAATGGTGAAATGGACACGTGGAAGTCATCGCTGTACAAACGTTGGACGAGGCTTTAGTGCACTCAATGAGTCAATGTCACGTAGACTGATAATCAAATGTTAGTCTTGATTAAAAGAAATATTCATGTACAAAAGTTAAAGAGTTCAAACTATATCGAAACAACTATACTTCGAGTTTATAGACTTTTACAAAATTCGCTGCATTTGTATAGTTTATAATAGTCTGTGCGATTCTTACATGTTAGATTGTGCATTCTAGCACGGTTCGACACAAATGAGCTCGATTTCAACTTAGACTCTGTAAATTTTATACTTTCTAGTTTATATTTAAGTGAAAAAGGTAATGAATGCTATGGAATCAAATTCGTATTTAAATTGATAGCACAATGAGTAGTTGATCCAACTCTAGAATGCAAATTTGTCTCCATCCTACTTCTCACGTTTCAATTACTTCAAGCCTTTAACAAGAAATTCATATTTCCTTCTTTCTTCCTTGGTAGAAGAAAGCATTACACGCAAGCCTACATTACATGTTTAAGCAAATGTACATTTACATCATGCATTTAAAGTGCAGTCTTTACACTACATTCGATAAATTTTACCATTCTATAAGCAAGTTTGGCTAAGTTTAAATCGGATTAAAATTGAAAATATAACCGTTATTGGGTCTCACTCGTCTAATAAAAGTCAACAATAACGGCTAATTTTTCAATTTTAATCCGATTTTAATCTCTACCGAACACGCAAACGAGGGTTGAAGGGGATTATGAGTCTCCATTTGCTTAATTTATTTGTTTGGCTAAGTTTAAATCGGATTAAAATTGAAAATATAACCGTTATTGGGTCTCACTCGTCTAATAAAAGTTAACAATAACAGCTAATTTTTCAATTTTAATCCGATTTTAATCTCTACCGAACACGCAAACGAGGGTTGAAGGGGATTATGAGTCTCCATTTGCTTAATTTATTTGATTAATAATTTTGGTGCAACTTATATATTACTTTAATATGATGGAGCACCGAATACCTATGATGACAATACGTCCAAACCTATCATAATTATTAGAGTAATGTTATATAACACTAGTGTTGCTAAACACCAGTTAGACGACGTGCAAATATTATTAATTGTTAAATCACCTTTAAAGTAGGAAAATAAATCACATTTAAGATATTCAATCACCTGCATGACACTTAAATTGATGTTCTGGCACCAGTGGTGTTAGATGGTATTATTCTAGTTATTATATGATGTGTCGAATGCACTGTTAAAGTTGTTTTAATTACTCTCCTTCCTATTTCGCTGTTAAAAGACCAATTTTGTGTAGTAAAGTGCGAATGGGACGAAGAAGAGAATAGAACCCTTTAACGACAAAATCCACCCAATTAATTAATTATTTAGTGTACAGTCATTTTTAAAACATATTATTTCTCCTTGATATAATCTTAGGGGTGGCTAAAATTTTGGACACACACCCTAATTTGGACATGTTAGTTGATAGTCGGATTTATTGTTGAAAAAAAAAAAACACACAAGATGCAATCATACAATATTTATTGTAAATGTTGGAAAAACATTACATTATTTAGCCGTCCATTTAGTTGGGACAGTGACTTGAAAATATAATTTTAAATTTTAAAATTTTGTTTTTCGCTAAGTCTCCGTAATTTAGAGACAATGCGTTCCAATTAATTGGAGATTAAAAGTATGAATGCGACGAGAAAAACTGAGACGGTAAATGTTAAAATGAGCAAAACTTTGTGACCTCCATTGCAAATAAAATGTAGAGTGAATATAATTAAAAAAATGCTAGAACAACACAAAGATGTNAGTTTCATTGCACATCACAATAGCTAACGGTACACGGAGGAAAGACCTCCAACACAAAGCCCTCCAAAGCGGGATTAAGTGCTACCAAGGTAAGAGCCCAAACTAAAGTAATGGTCATCACAACCAACCTGATATGTAAAAAAAAAAAATTAAAATAATCCATATAATATATATAATTCCGTTACATAATCCGTTAAAACAATAAATTCCGTTAGTTTTTCCGTTAAACCAACAAATTCCGTTAAATAGACATTTTTTATATATAGAAAGATATATAATATTTTTGCATATAAAAAACATTTTTTAAAGGAGGAGAAAATCAATTGGGCTTGGGATGGCCTACCCCTAAATTTGTTCATAATTTAGCCCCCGTTTGACAATCATTAAAATAAAATTTTCTTCCAAATTTATTTTCAGCCACATATTCTCATAATAAAATATTCTACACGTAAACATTTTTTTTTCTTCCTTTTAAAAATATATTTTTTCAAAAAATCACTATTTCGAAACTTATTTTTCTCCAAAAAAAACTCATTTTAATAATTATAAAACGGGAGCATAGATTATACTGCTTCAAATTCACAGTGTCATGGTAAAATATTCAACCCCATTATTGCAATGCAGTCTTTTGACATTTTCAGTGTCTCCTTGAAACAAATAATCTCGGTTGATATTGACTTCTTGATAAATTTTGATGTGAACCAACCTTTCATCATTGGTCTACCCAATGACAAAAATCCCTACATTATTAAAAAGATAAATAAAACAAATAAACAATATTTGGGCACATCAGTGATTGCACGGTGTGGGCTATTCTTTTTGGGTTTGCTGAGGAGGATTGGATGAGTACAGGCCCACCACCACCAACCTTGCAGGTTGCAACTAGGATCACCCTATCTATCCACCCCATCCACTAGAATATCAACTTAGAGCTTGTTTGGTAGGGATTTTTTGGGGAAAGAATTAATTTTGAATAGTGATATGATGGGAAATGTGTGGTTGAAAAAGAAGAAAAAATTATTGATGTGATGGAAAATATTATTTTATTGAAGAATGTGTGGTTGAAAATGATAATTGATTTACTGTAGAAATAAGAATTGATTTTTGAATAGTGATATGATGGGAAATGTGTGGTTGAAAAAGAAGAAAAAATTATTGATGTGATGGAAAATATTATTTTATTGAAGAATGTGTGGTTGAAAATGATAATTGATTTACTGTAGAAAATGAGAATTCCTACCAAACAGGCCCTTAATGGCTACTTTTGGACACTATAATAACGCCGAAACTGACCTCATTTGCTCTATTATTCTCAATTAAACTATAATTCATTTTTTCTATCTCTTCATAACAATCACACATTTTCAAATAAAATAATATTACACGTAAATTCAAAAATATTTTTTTAACTACACATTCTTAAAAAAAAATTATTGTTCATCTCATTATAATGTGAAATAATGGGGCGCTGAAAATGCTTGCACCTGATTACGATGTGATGGCATCTTCGAAATTCGAATGTATTGCATGTGTGCAGTTTTATTGGTAAGAGTATATCGAAATGTAATTCACTTTAACAAATATGTCTATCTTTCCATATTTTGAAACACACACACACACATATATATAGGCTAAGCACAATAACACGTTTCTCTAATTTTAATATTATACTCCGAGAAGGATAATTAGTCGTTGATCAATGGCTGAGATTCAATCTTGATCCCGAGTCATATAAATACTTGGCCTTTGTCCTGTTAGGTTAGAGCGTGCATAACTTTTTTCTCTGAGTATTTTCTATCTCTAAGCCCCTGTTTGGTCTCCAATTAAATTAAAATTCATTTTTCTCTTTTCTTATCAATCACACATTTTCTTGAAAAAAAATCAATATCCCTCTCATTGTAATCTACAATAATGGAGCCCAAACATGGGCTAAAATGTGTTCTCATAGGGTTTCTTGTAGGGTGAGTTTTCTTGGTGAATCTGTTACCATTGCTGAAGTGATCCTGTATATTGAAGCGTGCTTTGAGGTTTAGAGTATGGGAGTATTTTGATCTCTCAAAGTGTGAGAGTGGGTTTCATTTTTTATACATGTCTGTTTGCAGGAACAATACAAGTGCATGCGAGCCTCATTTGTTGTGGAGCTCCAAGAATGTGAGCTCCATGTAAAAGAGTTGAACCTTGTAAAAACTATGTCAATCATGTTCTTGGTTCTTGACGTTCTTTAATGATTCATCAAAGCTTGCATGGGCTACATGTGTTGTCCGAATCCTAATAGTGGTATTAGAGTCCAATTAAAGACATATGGCTATTTCATATCTTGAAACTAGGGGTATGTGAATTCTTACACCTAACGCAAAGGCTCCTTTGAAATTCTGATTCTACGAGTCAATGACAATATGTAATAGGTTTGTTTAAAGATAGAACCTTCTCAAACCTTAGACGAGTTTGGCGGTTTCTTAAGGCCACGATTTCGAAGGCTCCCAGATTTTAAATTCATATTTTTGCCTTTGTTTCTTATGAAAAATTTAGGTGGTAATAACATTAAAAATAAGGGATAATTGCAGCTGATGCTCCAAACCTTTCAAACATTGACATACTTTCCCCTAACATTTCAATCGATGCAAGTGTCACCCAAACCTTTTAAATTGTAACATCTAAGGCCCAAATGGACGATTTTCATCCAATATGTCGTTAGTTGACCCAAAAAATTAATTTTGGCCACATCTTAATCAACTTTAAAAGGGCAAAATAATAATTTAATATTTTCCCATAAAATAATTAAATACTTAAATCAAAAACATAAAAATAAAAATAAAATAAAAGAGGAAAAAACTATCTTCTTCATCGACC